CCATCCGACGACGACATTGGCTGCGGGCCTATATCCGAGGATGAGCTCGATCGTGCCCTGAAGGACCTCGACCCGAAGACGTCCCTTGACCCGGACGGCATCTGTTCTGAGTTCCTGTCGAGGCTGGACGGAGGAGCCAAGCGTCTGGTCCTCGAGCTCCTCAACATTTCTTGGGATGAGGGGTTCGTCCCGGACTCCTGGCGTGATGCCCATGTCATTCCCGCCGCGAAGCCAGGCAGGGACCACTCCCTACCCGAGGGTTACCGCCCGATCTCTCTGACGAGCGTTACCTCTAAGCTGATGGAGGTGATTGTCAAGAACCGGCTGGTCTTTCTGACGGAGAACGACAGTGTAACGCAGGTCCTACCTTTCTGTACTCGGCAGGGCGGCTTCCGTAGACAACGCGGAACCGAGGAGCAGCTCTACTCCATCGTGACAACGATTGACTGCGCCGGACCGACCTTCCGACGTGTCTGCCTTCTCTCGTTCGATCTGGCAAACGCCTTCGACACCGTCGACCACGCACTCCTGCTCGACGCAATGCAGAGTAAGGGTGTCCCTCCTAAGTTCCTTGTGTGGCTCGAGTCCTTTTTGCGAAACAGGAAGGCGGCTTTCAAAGTCGATGGTGCTACCGGCGAAAAGTTCCACCTGAAGCACGGCGTACCCCAGGGAACCGTCCTCGGGCCGGTTCTCTTCCTGTACCACATTGACGACCTCGGCACCTCGCTTGAGGCTCTCAACAAGCGTATCGTTGCTGATTCTGAGAGTCGATCCTGGATCAACTTCTCGCTCTTTGCCGACGATGATGGCGTCGTCGTCTCATCCCCGTCCCACTTTCAACTTGAGAAGTACACGCAGGAGGTTGTGGATGTGGTCGAGGAGTGGACGTTCAAAGCCAAGATGCACCTGTCTAAACTGAAGACAGAGGGCGTCCTCTTCCGGGATCCGGGTGCCCCTGAGCCCTATCCTGTCACGACGAGATTCAACGCCACAGCGGTCGATGTTCTGGTCCCTGACGACTACGTGATAGCGTTGAAGTCTAGGTCGACCTGGAAGTTCCTGGAACCGGACGAGCACTCACCCTGGCACCAACACCACGGCAAGCTGATCGTCTCAGTCGACGAGAAAAATGGCGGCGACAAGGACGCCACCAAAAACCGCCTGGTGACCATCCGAGTAGCCGACGCCCTACGCTGGGTCGACAAGACCAAGCTCCTTGGCCTGGTCATAGACTCGGAGCTCACGTTCGTCCCCCACATGCAACGCGTCGTCGACAAGTTTTCTTTGAAGATGAACTTCCTGCGTCACCTTTCCGGAAAGTCGTTCGGATGTAACTCGTGTACGCTGCGCACGCTGTATCTGACGTACGTCCTGCCGACGTATACGTACGCCCTGTCGGTCTACGGCCCATACCTCCTTCGGTCCACATCCCCCCTGGTCACGACGCTCGAGCGGCTGCACCGGCGCGCCCAGGTCATTCTCCTCGGGTGCAGAAAGAACACCTCGGATTTTTCGGCGCAACAGGAATCCGGGATTCTGCCGCTCCGAGCGATAGCGAATCTCCGTGTCGCCGCTCTGCGTGAGAGGATGCGACTCCGGAGCACGCTCTGGCAGAACGACCTCGCCATGAACACGACTCTGAGGCGCAGCTACGACGCCCTGTGCGAGAAGGCCGGAACGGTTGAGTGCAAACGAGAGGCATTCGTATTCAACCCGTTTGCCCCGTGGACGCCGAGTCCCAAAGTGACGATCGTCGCCACCCTGCCGGGGAAGAAGGGCGATTCGGCTGCTGAGAAGAGGCGCATTGTCGAAAGCCGGCTGAACCGGCTCGAGCCGCCGGACTGCTCAGCGTGGATAGACGGCTCGGTGCTCGACGGTGCCCCCCCGCCCCAGCCGCCGCCCTCGATAGCCGACAGGTGGGACGAGCGACATCGCCCTTGGTTGAAACGCTATGCGGACAAAACAGCGTGGGGCGGTGCCGGTTTGTACTTCGAGTTCGAACCGTCGATCACGCCCAGCCTGCGCGACGTCGCTGACTTGAAGACAGCCACCGGAAATCGGCACACGACTTCCCGTTCATGCCCGGTAGGCAAGCACGTCCACAGCTACCGCGCGGAACAGGTCGCCCTTTACTCGGCCCTTGTGTTTCTCCGACAACATCTCGCCCCGACGTCCCGCCCACTCCACATCCTCGTCCTGAGCGACTCCCAGTCGTTTCTAAAAACTCTCAGCGCCGGCCCCCATTCACAAGTCGAACCACTGGCGATAGAGTGCTGGACAATCCTGTCGGAAATGGAGGCGAGGGGATACGACGTCACCTTGCACTTCGTGTACGGGCACTGCGGGCTGGAAGGCAACGACGCGGCGGACGTGCTGGCCAAAGCTGCAGCTCTCGGGTACCGACGGGCCGCCGGAGCCTCTTCCTCGGATCACCCCGAGCCCTTCCCCCTAACCGTCGCTGGTGCAGTCTGCCGCTATCGGACGTATCTGCGGCTGAACAGCAGCGAGGCAGGTGCCAAGGAAGCATTCGAGCGCGCGGACGGCCACGGGAACCTCTCGCCGTTTGCCCGGATTGTTCATGGCCGGCCGATCCCCCGACGCCGTCATCTCACGCCGAGGGCTGAACGCGAAGTGCGCCAGCTGAGGACCGGGCACCACCGCCTGATCATGACGCTGTACGCCACGGACTGGCGCTCCTTCAGCGAGGCCGAGTTGCAGTCCCATTTCCTCCCGTGTCCGGTCTGCGGGGTCCGCTCTACCAGCCCCCTGCTGCACTTGTTCGTACACTGCCGTGACCTAATAACGGCACCCTTGAGGGCGGCGATGCGACATGATATCACGAGGCGGATCAAAAAGGACCCAGGCGGTCCGATCGAATCCCTCTGGTACTACCTGTTCGTCCATCCCGAGCACGCCCTGTTCTACCTCCAGAGAGCTGGCGCCCTCCCACCCTTCCAAGTCCTTGTGGAGTCTGACAAGGACGAAGCCCCCCCGAACCACGAGTACGGGCTCGTGCCCATCATGTGAGGCAACGTCACCCGTCCACGCAGCGGCTGCAGTCCGAGGCAGGGGATCGCCGGGGCCTGGGTACTCTCGCGCCGGCCATCCTGAACCCGTCACCTGCCACGGTGCTCTCGCAGTTCGCAGCACGTCGCCGTCGACGCCGGACGACGCCGCACCGCCCCGCGCAGCCCGACTGAGGCTCCGCGTCCAGCGCGCGCTTCGTACGCATCGCCAGAAGAGGACGCAGGCTAACCGCTGAGCGAAATGTGCACTCGTCTTATTTTCTTAATTGGTACAAACGTGCACTCGTCTTATTTCACAAGACTCTTGTCGAGATCGTACAGTTCAGTCTGCTGCGCTCCAGTAAGCACCACTCGGAACCCGGCTGGAAGGCCCTAAAGGGGAGTAGTCGGTGCCAGCACTTTATTGTTGTCCATCCCCACCCGGACTCCTCCGTCAACGAGTCCCAACAAACAACATCAATCGGTAACCCCCCCCTCGTCCCTACCCCAGCTCGCAGCCGGAACAGCTCGGTGAGGACACTCAGCGCGTCGTTGCAAAGGTTCGTCGCGAATTGAACGCCAACACGGCAACGAGTTCAGCACGAGCAAAAGCACGACGAGCAAAGCGCAGTGCCGCTCGAAACCACGGAGCAAGTCGTAGCGCAGGCAGAACCCGAGAGACAAAGCCGTCCACAGCCCAGACTCCGGTCAGGGCCAAACACACCCACGACGGTCCTCGAGGGCATGCCAAGCTAACGAAACACCTCTTTTTCGTCACAACACAACCAGTATCCCCCCTTATCCCCCCTCGTCCCTTCCCCAGCTCGCAGCTGGAACAGCACGGTGAGGGCACTCAGCGCGTCGTTGCAAAGGTTCGTCGCGTATTGAACGCCAACACGGCAACGAGTTCAGCACGAGCAAAAGCACGACGAGCAAAGCGCAGTGCCGCTCGAAACCACGGAGCAAGTCGTAGCGCAGGCAGAACCCGAGAGACAAAGCCGTCCACAGCCCAGACTCCGGTCAGGTCCAAACACACCCACGACGGTCCTCGAGGGCATGCCAAGCTAACGAAACACCTCTTTTTCGTCACAACACAACCAGTATCCCCCCTTATCCCCCCTCGTCCCTTCCCCAGCTCGCAGCTGGAACAGCACGGTGAGGGCACTCAGCGCGTCGTTGCAAAGGTTCGTCGCGTATTGAACGCCAACACGGCAACGAGTTCAGCACGAGCAAAAGCACGACGAGCAAAGCGCAGTGCCGCTCGAAACCACGGAGCAAGTCGTAGCGCAGGCAGAACCCGAGAGACAAAGCCGTCCACAGCCCAGACTCCGGTCAGGGCCAAACACACCCACGACGGTCCTCGAGGGCATGCCAAGCTAACGAAACACCTCTTTTTCGTCACAACACAACCAGTATCCCCCCTTATCCCCCCTCGTCCCTTCCCCAGCTCGCAGCTGGAACAGCACGGTGAGGGCACTCAGCGCGTCGTTGCAAAGGTTCGTCGCGTATTGAACGCCAACACGGCAACGAGTTCAGCACGAGCAAAAGCACGACGAGCAAAGCGCAGTGCCGCTCGAAACCACGGAGCAAGTCGTAGCGCAGGCAGAACCCGAGCGACAAAGCCGTCAACAGCCCAGACTCCGGTCAGGGCCAAACACACCCACGACGGTCCTCGAGGGCATGCCAAGCTAACGAAACTCTTATTCGTCACAATTTTATCATCCGCCCCCCCCCCCCACTCCCTCCTAACCCCTAACCTGTGGACCTGTCACTCGTGCGCGTGTCTCTTGGCGCAAATAGGCTAGTAACGCCTGACCTGTTCCAGACGCGGCTCTTCTGAGCAGCGGATGGACGGTGCTTGTTTTTCATTCATTCATTCATCCCATTAGGATGAAGAGAAGGCACAAGGAACCTTAGCACCGTATCCCCAAGCCTAACCCGGGTGCGGTTTCCAAATTTTTGAAATTGAAATTGAAATTGAATCCCCAAAATCACGGCAGGGTGGCCGAGTGGTCTAAGGCGAAGGACTCAAGTTCCTCTCTCTTCGGAGGCGTGGGTTCAAACCCCACCCCTGTCATTTTCCGAGACTACGTGTCACTCAGGCCCAGGAGTCAGGGGGGGCAAATGGGACAATTCCCACACTTCCTTATGTTTGTGCCCATTCTCGAACACTATTTAACTTTTTCGAGACTGGAGGTCCTATGAACATGCAATGTGAATAGCCTCTATTCGAGCCAACCCGGCTTTTCTTCATGAAAATTAGGGGTACACCTGGCTGAGTCGGTAGGACGAGGGACCAAATTACCTCTATGAGGTGAACAACGACGGTTCGAATCCCACCAGAGAGACTTTCCAGGCGTTCGGGGATAAGCTCCCGGAAGCAAGCCCTAGCTTCGATTCCTTGGAGGTAGGACCAAACAAACAACGGAGTAAACAGCGGGTACAATGAACCCCTGTACTACCTGCAGGATTAGGCCGTCTAGCCTCGCCTAGGCTGCAGTAAAAGTTCCGCCAGACAGAACAGAACAGAACAGAAAAAAGTTTTTTTTTTTTTTTCGGGACTGACTTCCCAGCAGCATGACGATTTAACGAGACGTGGCTGGAAAGCCAGCGGTCAGTTGGGAGACTGGGGCAAGCGAAGTATCGAATACACCAGAAGCTGACCTGGACATGGGGGCAATTCCCCTGAGAACGTTAGCAAAACAGTGCGGAAGTCAATGGAGTTTCTAGTTTCACTCTATCGTTGAAGATAGCGGTGGGACATTTACATGAGGTGTTGGTTTTTACAACTGGTCAGGTTGCTTCAATTTTAACTGGAGAATGGGGAACACTGGTAAGTCCCGCGACATCTGTAGGAAGAGTAGGAGTCCTATACAATTCTTAGCTGTGAACACATGGGGCAGGAGCGTGGGGTATGGGAATCTAAGGCAGTCGTGTCTAAAGTGGTCAAGAGATGGACACTGGAGAGTAATATGTTCAAGCATGGGCTTGCTTGTGTTCTGGTGGCAGTGCCAACACAGCCCTTGGAGTAGATCATAACTTCGATCATCGTTCCGAAGAAAGTGCTTATTTAAGGGTGTGTGGCCAGTGCGCAAGGCAAAGAGATGAATCTCAGCTTGTCTGGACAGTGCCTTTGGCAGTTTGCTGGGTAGCAGGCCTCGAGTCGCAACAAAGTGGAAGTTTTTAGGGCGGTCTTGGAGCCAACGACTGGAAAGCGATTCAACAATTCGCGCTTTCGCAGACTGCATATCGAGGCACGTGTAGGCATCGTTAGTTTTTGAGCGAGCCTTATTTGCAACGATATCTGCTTGCTCGTTTCCCCAGACGCCACAATGTGCAGGTACGTGTTTTAAGGTGATGTTTTCTGGAGTGCAAGTTCTAGTTCTGGTTTCTGCGATGGTATCGCATAAGGTCAGGAGGATGGCAATGGCAATCTCATCATTTTGCCTGAGGCCCTTTTCGAGGGTCCTGAGCGCCGATTGACAGTCTGAGAGAAGGAGTGCTCTTGATCCAAGCATCAGAGGCAAAAAGAATTTAATGGCATGTACACCAACAAGAATCGCAATTAGCTCAGCGCGGTAGATGGTAGCGAATCTACCGCCGCTCGTCATCAGGTGCAGGGAATTTTTGGACACGCGTTTCAGATATATCCGCAGACCCAAGAGACGTCGTGGAAAGTTGCGCAAAGCTTCGTCGGTGATGTCTTTGCGCGCTACGACGAGACACGCAGAACCAGTGTTCGGTTCGTTGGGCGCTTTCGACGCATCGGTGAACACGTCAATGTCCCGATCAGGTAACGAACCGAGGGAGAGCTCGAACATTTCCCGTTTTCGTACCGCACTTGTGTGTGTGCCAACGCCGGGGCACTTGGGGACGAAGTGGATTGAGGGCGGGAGCTCAAGTGAAGAACATGGAGTTGGAGGTAGGAGGTTTTGTGGGCGGACTTTCAGAAGTCCAGTCGTTGCAAGATCTTCATACGCAGCATGTGACCATGTAGTCAGGACCGGTCGAAATTTGACACAAATGTCATAGCCACGTGTATGCGGAAGGCGTCTTATCCGTTCATACAAGGTGCACGACAGCTTCGACCGGTAGGTTTCGAGTGGAAGAACGTCAGCTTCGAGGCAGAGGGAGTGTAATGTCGTTGATGTTGGGAGCCCTGTGATGATGCGCAAGGCACGATGGTGATCGGTCTTCATCGACTGGAAATCCTGCTGTAGCAAGCACGGGCCAAACACGCCAATACCATAGAGGAAGACAGGGAGAACGTACGCAAGGTAGAGCGATCTGAGTGGTCCCGATTGAGCCGTGGTGATAGCATCCGCGATGCGTTTCATGTTGGACAGTCTTGCGTTGAAGCGCAACCGGATGCTCGAGACATGATCGGAGAACGACAGGCTCGAATCGAAGATGACTCCTAGGAAGCGGGCAGATCTAACGTTTGGGAGCAGCGGGGCGGAAGTAAGGTGAACGTTTTGAAAGGCGTAGAGTGGATCCCGAATAGTGGTGTGATTGGCTACTTCAATACCATTGCACTGGAGAATACGGTGGCCGTCAATTGCAGTGAGGTGCGGGTCGTTGAACTGTTTCGCCTTGTCCGAGAGTCGAAATGTGCAAGTCGCAGCGTCAATGAGATCAGAAGGATGCAGACTGAGATCACCAAATACCTGCAATGAGAGTCGAGAGTTGACAGTGGACGACGGGAAGTGGACGGCGATGTTCGTAATGGGATCAGACGGAAGTACCGGGAAGTAGATGACGTGTGTCTTGCTGACTGACATGTTCATCTGAAATTCTTGTGCCCACTCATCAACAGCAGCTGTGACCTTCTGAGCAAGTGTCTGCAATTCCTCGTCAGTAAAGGCACTGCACACAATCGCAAGATCATCCGCGAACAGTGTGAAGATCAGTCCGGGCATGAGTGCTTCGAGTTTCGCCGCCAGCGGGTCGATGTAGCACAAGAAGAGGGTTGGAGCAAGTACCGTTCCCTGTGGGACACCTTTGACAATGTTGAAGTACTTTCCAAGTACCCCATTAACCTTGGCTGCCGCCCGCCGACGATGCAGGAAATGCAGAATCCAGCGTTTCAAGCGTCCCGAGACAGATTTTGCACCAAGCTGGTTGCCCAGTATGGTTTTATCCACCTTGTCGAAGGCCTTGGATATGTCCAGTAGCAGGAGCGCAGACTTCTTTCCTGCTACACGGGCCTGAGCTAAGGCGTGTTGTACAGTTCCTATCTGCTCTTCAGCAGAGCGCCCCTTCTGGAATCCTGCTTGTGATGGGTGAATTGGACTGTCAATCAGTGCTCGGTTGAGTCGAACAAGCACCATCCTTTCGGCCAGTTTTGCAACGCAGCTCGTCAACGCGATCGGACGATAGGAATCAACGCTCTCAGGTGTCTTGCCAGGTTTAATCTGCATCAGAATGTGCGCTTCTTTCCAGTTAGGTGGCACAACACCCTTTGACCATGAAAGGTTAATCAGCCGCAGCAGCAATTGTTTGGAGCGTTCACCAAGATGGATGAGCATCAAGTTATTGACCCCATCCGGGCCAAGGCTGGTCGACGGTTTAAGCTCATCGACAGCAGCGTCAAGTTCCCACGGTTGAAATGCAAAGTCGAGTTGGTGAGTTGAGGAGTCAGTCGGTAGAGTCTCGGATTGTCCCGCACAGGTAGCTGCTAAGTGTTGGCCCATTTCTGACGCCTTAACCCTGTCATCATACTCAAATTGGCCATTGATGAGAAGAGGCGGTATGACCGGATCATTCACCATGTCATCTGCAGATTGCATTAACCTGTGAAAGTCAGACATGGTCGAGGTACGGGATAGAGAGCTTGCCGTCCTGTTTAGATGATCAGACTTGGCTTGGTTGATGAGTCGATTTATCTTCTGCTGGGCAGCTTTGAGCTGGATTCTGACGTCATCGGGCGGCCTGTTTTGAACAGCAAGGTCTGCGCGAAGTCTGTCCCTTTCTTCAATCGCAGTACGCACTTCATCGGTGAACCAGGCATGGCCACGTCTGGATGTCGAAGTCGGAATGTGACGATCTCTAGCAGCCCGTAAGGATGCCGAGAAGCGTTTGGAGATTTGTGCAATATCATTGACCGGGAGGCCTTCAAGCAGTTGATCAGCAGTTGAGCCATATGCTTCCCAGTCAGCCTTGTTCCACCTGAACGGCTTAGGCTTCACTGTAGGACGGGTGAGGTTGGAGGGAATGTTGAGAATCATTGGTGCATGGTCGGAACCTCCATTCGCGTCAAGCGTCTTCCATGTGAAATCAAGGCCATGCGGCGAAAGGACAAGGTCAGGCGAGGTCGTGGAGAGCGGGCGAGTTGATACAGCAGGGTTGTTGCAAACAGTCAGGTCGGAGCAAAGGATCCAATTCGCGAGAGACGAGCTCCGCGTGTTCGGAAGAGATTGTGACTCCCAGAGCGGGTGGTGCAGGTTGAAGTCACCAGCAATAACAGCATTGCTAGACGGGAGATACTGAGGATCAAAATGATCTGTACGCGAGTCATGTCGAGAAAAGGGCGGAATGGGTGGTTTGTAAAGGTTGACAATTAAGAGGTTTCTGCCTTCGGGTAGAGCGAGTTGAACATCAAGTCGTTCCGTCGCGTCGTCAATATGAGGAGAGCTGAAGTCAAGACGCCGGTACGCGATAGTATTCCGGACAAGGGTGATGAGCCCTCCACTTACTCTACGACTGCTGGAGCCCGGGTTACGTTCTATTGTTCTGGCTTGCTGTTCTACATTGAAACCAGGAATAACCACTGTAACGTCAGGTGGGAGATTGGTCTCTTGTAAAAGCACAATATCGATGTCAAGCCTGGCAACCAGTGCCAAAATAAAATCACGTCTCCGGAACCAGCTGTTGCAGTTGAAGATCAATATGCGAAGACCGTGATAGTAGGTTGCCGACACCGGCCCTGGGTGGGGGTGAATATCACCACATCTCAATAGTAGAAGGCCGTGTGCGTTTGACCGCGAGAAGCACGAAGTAGAGCTCCTGGAACTCCAGAAGGGGATTCGCGGACCGTTATGGGTGGAGTCAGGATCTAGTTTTGATTGGGAAGCTTGG